ACATTCAGAGGGAACGAGGGAAACGAAGACGGCTGATGGAAAAAACGAGGGGAAAGAAAGAGGGAGAGAGTGTGTGTGCGTTTGCGCGAGCGAGCGCGCGCGCGCGTATGTATGCGTGTGTGAGAGATGAGATAGCCGGTGCTGTGACACACGGATGCAACGCGGCGTAACGATATCGAGTGGAGGTCCCCACGGTATGCACCGTGCAGAGAGCAAGACCACACAGGGTGCACCGGTCGGACGGAGAGACGAAAAGAAGGAAAGAACGAAGGAAAAGGCGAGGAAAAGAGAATGGAGCGGCGGCACTCGAATTGTAGAGTCAAGTAAGCACGCGAACTTGGTGCGGACGATTCTATTCGATCGACTAAGAGACTAAAGAGACTAAAGAGGCAGACTAACGCGTCCCGGTTAGCAGGCGAAATTGGCGCGACTAGCTGCAGGAACAAGCACCGAGCGATACTGAACCGGCAGGAGGGAAAGAAGAATAGGCACGGGGAGAAGCGATATGCGGACGAGACGGCGCGGTGCAACGATATCGAGTGGAGATCCCCGCGGAATGCATCGTGGTCGGCGCGACGACGAGAATTCGAGAGGAAGAGAAACGAAACTGTAAAGAGAGAGACAGAGAGAGAGAGAGATAAATGGGGAGAAAAAGAAGGGGAGATTCGGAGAGAGAGAGAGAGAGAGAGAGAGAGAGAGAGAGAGAAAGGTAGGGACGCCCTAGAGAGGCAAGTATGCGCGCGAAGAGACCTTCGTGTATACCTTGTGTCGTATACACAGTACACAGACTACCGAGTCACTCGCTTGCCGGATACACACAATGACGGAAGAGAGTAACGTAGCAGCAGTCGACGGCGACGTCGTTGGCGGCGGCGGCGGCGGCGGTGGCGGCGGCGCTCTGCAGTGCGTCGGCCCGCTGACCTTGACACTGACATTGACTGAGCGAGCGATTGAAAGAGAGCGAGAGAGAAAGGCAGAGACAAATAGAAACAGACAGACAGACAGACAGACGATCAGCCAGAGAGATGTACTAAAGAAACGACCTCGTCGTTGAACGGTATATACGCGCGATTAGGCGAAACCGAAGGCGGCGACAACGTAAAGCAGCGAGCAGCCACTAGCCTAGTGTAGTACGTCGGCACTTGTACGTGTACAAGTATCTTTCCTTTGCTGTCTAGTTCTCCTCGGTTGACCAGATCGCGACGATCAACCGGGTAACGAGACTTCGTCGGCCGTTTACGACAGGGGCCTCGTATTCCAGACCTCGAAACAGGTTTTCAGAGGTGCACAGGCCTGCTCCTCGTTGCACCTGTGCCCGGGACAAGGAGATCCAACGGGCCAACTGGGCAAGGGGAGGGGAGGGGAGAGCGGACAATCTTGGATTGGGGAGCGACGAGACGCGTGGTGGGACAGAGACAGATGAAAGAAGGACGGAGGGTGAAGGGTGGAAAAGAAGACGAAGGTAAAGGAGAAAAGGGAACCGGTGACGTACCCGCGCGTTTCTACCCGCGAACGCGAGAGAGGCAGAGAGAGGGAGAGAGGAAGAGGGAAGTAGGCGAGACGTCGAAGAAAAGGAGAACTGACTTTCGCTTTCTGTGCGCGACGCAGCCTAGCCGTGGAGCGTCGATCAATAGTGCCGCGACGGTTGCACACACATATACACGTGATACGGGCGTACACACGCGTGTACCTTTTACAACCCTCTATCTCGACTGCTCGCCCGTCACTGACTGCCTCTCTCTTTTGCCCTATCTGTTCATCCGTGTCTGCTTATCTGTATATTATCCCCTCCAGCTGGCTACCCTGCACGAGCAGCCGCGTGTGTGAGGGTGGAATTATTATTGGGATCATGCTTCGTTGGCCGTGGCAAGGGGTTGCGTAGGAACGACAGAGACGGAATCAAGGACCTCGAGCTACCGATCAGCGACGCCCCTCGTTCCCTCTCTTTTCTTTCACCAGCCTGTTTGCACGGTCTCGCCATGGGATCCTCTCTCGCTTTCTTCCTCTCTCCGTTTGCGCTTCGTGTGTGCGTCTCGCTCCCTTATCGAGTACGGTACGGGCGAAATTGGCACGGAATCGAGAAGGTGGGACCGAGAGAGAGAGAGAGAGAGAGAGAGAGAGAGAGAGAGAGAGAGAGAGA